CTTGGATCTAGGCTATTGAGAAGATTATAGGAAAGACCAGTAATAATCACAATCCTCTTCCTTTCCCTCCTCCCCACCTCGAATTAGTTTCTAAACTCCTTGACATCAGGATCTGTTTTGTCTTTTTTCTTCTTTGTATCCCAGGCACTTAAAAGAGTAACTTTGAGAGACCAAAACTTAGATTTCATCAGCCTAGGGATTCCCGGTGAGGAAATTTCCTCTAACAATGCAGGCTGACACACCTACCCTACAATTTATAGTCTTAGAGAGTCACCTGGACTCTCTGGGTGGTGACTGGGAGGTTAAATAAGTGATTTGCTCAGGGTTACGTAGCCAATATGTGTCAGAGGCAAGACATGAGTCCTCCTGACTACTCCATGACCAGCACTCTATTTACCACGTATACCATACTGTCTTACACGCCTCAGGAACTGAATCAAAGGTTCTTCAGTTGACTAATCAGAAATTTTGTGTTCTTTGGATCTGAAAGTGGCTCTGTTTCATTCTAAAGTCAGTGATGTATCTCTGGAATTTTTAAAAGATTCATCTAAGTAGTCTAAAGATTGGGGGGACTAAAGTCAAGCTAGGTGGCAGCTATTTCTTCCATCATCAAATAATCAGCATTGACTGGGGGTGAATGTAAGGCACCTCCCTCCAGCTTTTAAAGCAGTTACTGGCTCTGAATTTCTAATCAAATCTGACCAGAAGAAGCCAGAGCGCTTAAAGAAGGAAGTGGCTGATGGGAACACCTACCCAACCTCACACCTGTCATTTTCATTGTGTCCAGGAAAAAGTCATCAGAGAAGAGGTCACCCTACGTAAGAAACCCTCCCTTCTGGCACTTATCAGATAATTATTGAAATATTCAGTGATTTCAAAATTCATCCTTCTTGTTATCATCTTGTCTCAGCTGTGAACTGAACAGTAGTTACCATCCAGCTGCTAAGGCTGTATAAAACACAGAAAAGAGACCATCAAAAGCAGAGGCCAAACATTCTATACCCCATCATCTGTCTCTGGCTTGTTTGTACATTAGCTGGCTGGATTTTTTCATTGGACCTTATAGGTCACCCATTCCAACCCTTTCACTTTTATAGATTAGGTAACTGAGACCCCAGAGAAAATGAAATGACTTGCTTATGTTACCAGAATTAGTAAGTTGCAGGGTTGGAATTTGGTCCTCTACGTTACTTGATTGCAAAAAAAAGGGCTCTCACTGCCACTCCATGCTGAACCATTGGATTCATCGAGGATTCCAACTTAAAATTTCACTGTGCCATTGATCACTGGGTATTCAACAGGCAATGGATGGCAAAGGTAACTTCTGCCTCAGAGGCTTTATATAAAGTTATTGCTTTTGCCCAGCATATCTCCTTTTTCCCGGTTGTCTTATGATTCGTTATTTCTTCTAGCTAAAAAAAATAACACTGGAAACATTTAACAGATCAGTCTATCCCATATTACTCAATGTGTTTTTCCAGAGTAGCCTGAAAGGAAATGTTGGGTTATATGAACCACAAAGGATTGCTGACTAGGGTACCACCTAGAAATGTGGTGGGGAGGCTGTAGAATCAAAGACTATATTTCTGTCCTTCTAAAATTTGAAGTTGGGGGGTGGTGCTTTCGCACCTTAGAAAATAATTTCATTATCTGAATCCCACATTTGGTAACAGAATCAATTGGTCAGTCAACAAGCATTTGTTAAACACCTATTAGATGCCACACACTATGGAAGGTGATGGGGATACAAAAACAGCAATGAAACAAATAGTCCCTGCCTTTGGGAGCTTACATTCTATTAGGTAAGTCAACATGTATGTAACTAAACATCTACAAATATTTAAAAAAAATACAAGGTAAATTTTGGGAGGCGGGCACTCAGGTTGGGACATCAGGAAAGGTTTTATGGAGAAGTTGTCTGCTGAGCAGAATTTTGAAGGTAAAGGGGGATTCTGAGTGATAAAATTGAGGATAGGGGAAGCATACCAGCCATGGGGGAACAATGCACAGTCACTAAGATGAGAGAGAGTGATGTATAATGAGGCTGAAAAGGCTGAGAGTTAGAAGGAACTCCTAGAAGGAGTGCTGGATTTGGAGTTAGCAAATTTGGGATGAAGTTCTGGTTAAGCCACTTACTACCTATCTGTATGACCTCAGACAAGTCATTTAACTTTTGGGGGTCTCAATTTCTTCATCTGTAATATGAGGGGAGTTGGACTGGGTGACTTCTAGTTCATCTAGTGAATAAAATCACTGGGCCCAGAGTCAGGAAGATCTGAATTCAAATCTAGTTTCAGACACTTACTAGCTGTATGACCCTGGGCAAGTCACTTAACCTCTGCCTGCTTCAGTTTCCTCAGCTGTAAAATGGGGATAATAATAGCACTTCCTCCACCACCCCCACCCCCACACACACCTAGGATTCTTGTGAGGATCAAATGAGATGATATTTGTAAAGCACTTACCACAGTGCCTGGAGCATAATAGATGCTTTTCTTCCCCTCACCCCTAAAGTCCCTTCTAGCTATAAATCTATCATGCTATAAGAGTCATCTAGCACAGCCCATATGTCTATTGAAAATTTCAGTTTTTATAAATTTCTAGCTGTCTAAGCTTGAAAGAATCATCTACTTTATTTTTCCTAGTTTCAGTTGGGGGCTGAAAAAATACATTTCAAGAGGAGCATCCCTGAATTTGAAGACATTTAGTGATAGAGAACTCACTACTTCCTAGGATAGTCCAGCTGTTTGCAGCTGTTCTAAGCTAACAATGTCTCATTGCCCATTTGAATATCAGTGGCGTGAATTTTCATGTTGGAGTCCAATCACCCTGGCCCCTCTACCCCCCCAAAAAAGAGGCCTTTGACTATAAGATGCCTTTATTCAAATGACCATGAGAAAAAAGTGAGGGAAAGGGCGATTTTGGGCTTTCTTAACCCTGTCTTGGTTTGGGAAAGGTTGTTTGCTTTGCTTCAGACCTGTGATTCCATCAGTATGGAGATCTCTCAGAGTGGAAACGCCATTAAGTCAATAATTCTGCTATAACATATCCAGCCTTAGAGAGATTCCTGGGGTACTTAAGAGATTAAGTACCTTGCCTCAGGTCACAAAGCTGATGTTCATCGAGGACAGGCTCAAACCCAGTCCACCGTTTCCTGTGAAGAGGTAGTAGTTATTGGGTGAACTTGCATCCAGATGGTCTGCCAAGATGCACAAGCTGTAGGGCAGCTATAGGGACAATTCCCAGAGACAGACCACCTTATCTTCCATTGGACCTTAAGCTCCTCGAAGGCAGGAATGATTTTTGTCTCTCTTTGTAGCACCAGTGCTTAGCACCATTCCTGGTACTTAATAGGTGTTTAATAAATACTTGTTGACTGACCAAGATAAGAAAAGATTCTTCTATCCAGGAGTGTGCTGGTAAATGTTTAGCAACCAGCTCTCTGGAAAAAATGTAAGCGCAACACACTTTTAACATTATTAACATGTTCTCCATCACTTTCTCAAGTCTAGAGAAACCACAAAACAATAAATCAAAGCCTGATTTGTAGTATTTGCCAATTTCTTTTTTTATGGAAAAAAATAATCCAATGTATTTACCAAGAAGCCATCAGAATACTTATTTCTTATTTGATATTAATTTATTTCTCAAAATTAACACAATAATGTTAGAACTGGAATATTAAAAATGCATCAGCAAAAGCTTCAATTAAACAAATACATGAAAATAATTAAAAACAACAGCTTTCAGTGACACCACATAACCTGACGCATGGCTATATTAGATATGGATAGAATAATTAATGCAAATTTAAAGAAAAAAAGAAACTTGCAAAATCATTTGAACTCAATTCCAAATTCTCATATGATTGACAAGAACAAAGTCCTTTATGTGACTTACAGTTTTCTTATCTAATTAAAGGACTCCAATATGAAAATTATTCTAACTTCTAACAATTGTAATTCTACCTGTTGTTTGCCAATTTTTAAGGTATAACTGCTCACACTAAAAATTTAAGACTCGGTTCCAATTAGTTCCAGCACACCACATCCCTGCTTCTACCATGGTGGGGGGAAGGGGTTTATAGGAATGAAGTCATAGAAATATCATAGGATTTTTTTCTCATCTGAAAGTCTACCCTACTAAAGGTGAAGGAAAAAGTATCTATTCTGCACCAAACTACTGAACAGTTTATGACAGAAAAAGCAACTGGTCAAGAAAGATTTTTCTTTTTTTTTGGCTAGGCAGTGGGGTTAAGTGACTTGCCCAGGGTCACACAACTAATAAGTGTTATGTGTCTGAGGTCGAATTTGAACTCGGGTCCTCCTGAATCTAGAGCCAGTGTTCTATCCACTTCGCCACCTAGCTTCCCCGAGAAAGATTTTTCTTTACTTGGATTCTATAATGTCTTTCCCCTTATTGTCTAAAAATCCGCATAACCTAATTTAACAGGACATGTTTTTATTTCTTCTTACAAAATTTTAGGTGCTTTACATAAAACCTTAAAGGAATACCAAACATTTTTCTTTTTAATTATTTACTGAATGAACACAAATATTTCTGTATACAAAAAGTACCCAAAAATGGGATTGGATATGAAACTATAGGCAGCTAGGTGGCTCAGTGGATAGAGCACTAGGCCTGGAATAGGGAAAACCTGAGTTCAAATCCAACCTCAGACACTTACTAGCTGTGTGACCCTGTGCAAGTCACTTAGCCTCTGTTTACTTTAATCCACTTGAGAAGGAAATGCTAAACCATCTCAGTATCTTTGCCAAGAAAATCCCATGAATAGTATGATCCATGGGGTCACGAAGAGTTGAACATAAATGAACAGCAATGTGAAGCCACGTCTTCATTGTATATGGTTAATAGCAAATATTTACAAAACAGTTCAGAAATGAACTTTGTCCTGTCATTCCATTTAATTTAAGGGTAAATATTCTAGACATCTTAAAATTAGAATATCACAACTGGCTGTTTCTATTATAAATTTCCAGCAGTCCGTATTGAGGAATCACCGATGGTGTAGAGAAGAGTTCTGGATGTGAAGTCAGAGGACCTGGATTCGAATTCCGGCTGTCTTTTACTACCTGCGTGACCCTCAGAAAGTCGCTTCATCTTTCATGATACCACTTTCTTCATCCATAAAATAAGGAAGTTGGACCAGGTAATTTCTAAGATCTCTTCCAGCTCTAAAAACCTATAATCCTATAATTTATTTGTTCTGGATCCAGTGGGGAAGAATAAATACATTTCTGGTGGAGCAGAATCAAGGCAAGAGTGCCTCTCTTCAGTTCTATTCACTAAGCACCAAATTTTCTGGGAAGAAATGTCATTCACTGGAGGTGGCAAGACCACCACTTTTAGAAAGTAGAGGCAGTCTGGTGTAATGGATAGAGAATCAATTGTGGATCCCATTCCCACCTCTGGCTCCTACTACCTGTGTGTGTCGAGCAATTTGACCTCCCTCAGCCTCAGTTTCCTTACCTGTAAAATGAGAGGATTGTATTCAATGGCCTCAAAGGTCCCTTGCAACTCTAAATCTATGATGCTATGACAGCTTCACTCAAAGTCAAGAAGTAACTATCTTGGTCTCAGTCTCTTCATGTGTAAAATAGGGATAATAATAACACCTGCTTCACATGGTTGTTATGAGATTCAAATGAAATAGTATATGTAGAGTGCTTTGCAAACCTTAAAGTGATATATAACTGCTGGCTACTGATATTATCCTAGGATACAATAAAATACATCCAAATAAATTATAAATAAATAAATAAAATACAAATCATCATTTAATAATAGACTTAAGAATATGGGGTATGTCATTCCAGATGGGTCCAGAGCCCACGCCAAAAAATAAAAATCTAAAATTGTATAATGCCTCCATATTTCAGAAAATCTATAATTTCATTCACTGAGCACTACCACTGAGCACTAATAAACTCCCACCACCACCACCATCACTATCTCATGTCTGAGACAGTTTCATGAGCTGTTACAGTAAAAAAAAATCACCTTCTGGCTAACCTTCTGTAAATGAACCTCTCCAAACTGAATTAGGCTAGTCCTTGGTCTCTAGACAGAGAATCTCTCTCTGCAGCTGTAAGCTTGTTAACACCTGGCCAGGTCTGCCCTCCATTGACTTGACCCTCAAGAACCACCTTTCATCTGTCATTAGGACTGTGAAACTTGGTGGGACTTGCTATACATATACATCTTCTTCAAGAACCCAGGGTTACCCCCTATGATGAAAAAAAACATCAAAGAAGGACTTTAGTGGAGGGGGGAAGGCCCTTTAATGCACCTCTCAATTCATTCTTATACCCTGATCATCTTTCCTAGAGCTTGCTCTTTCTTTGATTCTCCTCTCCCCACCCCCAGGCAATTAGAGTTAAGTGCCTTGCCCAGGGTCACACAGCTAGTAAGTGTCAAGTGTCTGGTCTGAGATCACATTTGAACTCAGGTCCTCCTAACTCCAGGGCTAGTGCTCTATCCACTGCACCTCCTAGCTGCCCCAGCTTGTTCTCTCAAAATGCTAAACTTACCCAGGTAGTAAGTGTCAGAGGTGGGATGGAATCCATAAATAGTTCTATTTCCACTATACCAAACTGTCTCTACTTTCTCTACAAATGAGTCAAGCACAAATTCCCTTAATAATTGCCACTTCCACACACCCCCTTCATGCTGTCAAGAATTAACTAAAGGGTACTATGAGTCCAGGTTTAATCTCCATTAAAACAAGCTCAGCTACTTGTCTCCAAAGAGCCGTGTGGAGAATTTTTTTAAATGTCTTTCTTCTTTGAAGGGCTGTTTTCAATGCCTCAGCATCCCACTTCCTTCAACTCATTACTTTAATTTTTTTTTTTGTGGAAAGAGTAATTCCTGCTGGCCACTAGTCTAGCCTAGCCAAGCAATCTAATGATTGAGTGATGTCTGAGGAAACCAGCTAGTATATTTTCATGTTTTCGTATGACTTCATGGAAAAATTTCTCATTTGGTAGTCTTGGCAGGAGACAAGGGTAGGTTGCCCTCTGAGCTCACACACACACACACACACACACACACACACTGCATTTCATTAATATCCAGTATCAAGTCTGCAAGAATGAGTGATTCACAAAGTTCAAACTGAAATGATGTCCTTATTTCACCCTTGGCCTACTTCTCAGCTTTCTGAGAATTCTGTAGAATTCTTCTTGACAAAAAGTACCAATTGATTTGTATCATCCAGGGTCTTCTGGCCTTGATTAATTATATAAACTGTAAGTTTAATAAGAGGCATTATTACTTTTGTTTTCATTAAAGCAGTTCAATTTTCATCTTTTTCTTTTTTATTTATATGTAAAGTTCCCTTGACTCTTTGTTGTTAATATGTTTTATAAGGTGTTTCCTTAAAACAGTCAGTTTTCTATAAACTAACACATTTACTCCTGTTGTGAAACTGGTAATAAATATCCTATGATATCTTAAGAGTAAGTCATCACTATTATCTCTTGACTTTTTTTTCTCTTTCATGCTTCTGAGATCAATGAGCATTTGTTTCAGGCCATAAATGCCATGAGACTATGTTGTGTCCTTAGAGTTATGCATTTAAAAATCCCTTTCAAAAATATACTTGTGTCCCCTACTTATTATTCATTGGTTTTCAGTCGTGTCCAAATCTTCATGGCCCCATTTGGGGTTTTCTTGGCAAAGATACTGGAGTAGTTTGTCATTTCCTTTTCCAGCTCATTTTACAGATGAAGAAACTGAGGCAAACAGGGTTAAGTGACTTGCCCAGAGTCACACAGCTAGTAAGTATCTGAGGTCAGATTTGAACTCATAAAAATAAGTCTTCTTGACTTCAGGCCAAGCACTCTATCCATTGTGCCACATAGATCCCACTGTGCCAACTATAGTGCAATACAGTAGAAGGAAGATTGGCTTTAAAATAAAAGGATTTGAGTTCAAATCCCACCTCTATTATTTACTACCTGGGCCTGAATTCCCTGATCTGTAAAATGAGGGGGTTTAGATAGATATGCTTTAAGGTTTCTTATAGTATTAAAATCTGTAAAACTTAGAATTTGAAGTAAAAAAAAAATCACTTTTTTCCTTGGTCTTTTTAAAACAAAGCCAAACCTTCTTAAAACATCAGTCCAATCATGTCATTATCCTGCTTAAAATTTGGTGATTCCTTATAATACTTCTACAAACCCTTCGTCCAGGCATTTAAAGACCTTCCCACTTTGGCTTCTGCCTAGAATATTTGTCCCCTACATACATACACACACACACACACACACACACACACACACACACACACACACACA